TACAATGAAATATTACTCGGCCATAAAAAAGAATGAATACTTACCATTTCCAACAGCATAAATGGACTTAGAGGTCATTATGCTAAGTGAAATAATTTATTCAGAGAAAGGCAAATATCATATAATTTCACTTATATGTGGGATCTAACAAGCAATATAAACAAAATAAACGCAGATTCATTGAAACAGAGACCAGATGGTTCCCAGAAGGTAGGGGGGTTGAGGGTCTGGGTTAAAAAAAAAAAGAAAGGTACTAAGAACTACTAATTGCTAATTACAAAATAGTATTGGGAATGTTAAGTACAGCATAGGAAATATAGACAATAATATGGTAATCTCTATGTACAGTGCCAGGTGGGTACCTAAAATATCAAGGAGACAACTTTGTAAAGTATATGATTGTCTAAACATGATACTGTACACTTGAAACTAATAAAAAATAGTAAATTTAAACCGGAATTGAAAAATTAAAATATTTTAAAAGAAGCCCAACCATGACTTGTGAGTTCAATCACACAAAAAATAAGAAAGTATCAATAAGCAAATTGCTACTTTACCATATTCTGAGCTTAAACATCAATAGAAATACTTGAGTCACAATATAAATTTGAAAAATTTGAAAATACAAATGTTAACCTTCATTGATTTTATTCTACCATTATCACTTTTCTTTCTCATTATTTCTCTGAATGAATGCCTGATGGTTAACTTTCCTGTGTACTTGAATGTCCCAAGAAGGTTTTAATTTCTTTCATATTGTATTAACATTTTAGTTTGGTGATTTACACTCTTTGTTTTGTAACATCCTGTCAAAATGGTACAAAGTCAGATCATCCTTTAAAGAAAATTTGACTTTGATTGACATCGGCCTATTCAACAGCAATGTTATGAGACAAGAATACAGGGGAATAATATTTTAAAGGATTGAAAAGAAACAAATTTTAAGCCTTGGATTATATGCAGTTAAGGTCTTTTAAATTCGAAGACACAGAAAATGATGTTATCAAAAAATAAAGTCTCAAAAGTTGTATTTCACATAAATCCCTTTGAAAATATTTCTATTGGAATACTCCAGTAGGAAGAAAAATAAACCTACAAACACACTATTAGTTTTGTGGAAAAAATGATTGATGTTAATGACCTTTATTGTATCCTAAAATATAGATAAAAGTGTAGCATGTTCAGATAACTCAGAATTAAAGCTCCAGAAAATATCCCCTTGAAATAAAGACTGCTGTGATGGAGAAAGCAACATCAGAGGAGGCAAGAGCGCTTGCTTGGCTGGCTGAGATGATATTAATATCGACACATATAAGAAACTGAAGAGGAAATTAACATAATTAATGACATAAAACCATTACAATGTAAGAGATTTCCAAATTCCATATAAATAAAAAGAACACTTGATCTATAAAGTGTAAGATTCAACGGGGGAGGGGGGGAAAAAAGAACAATAAAGAAAGTATGGAAAATAAAGTGTAAACTAAGATGGCAGAAATAAATCATAATACAACAATAATTAAATGAATCAAGGTAAAGATGGTCAGATAAGATTTTTAAATGTAAAAAATTTTTAAACAAAACATTGAAAATAATAGAAAAATACAGAGGGCAAATATGAATACAAGGATGACCTAAGCCCAAATATTGATAAAAGGTTGAATCCAAGGTAACAATGGCCTAAAGGAGGAAAAGACTGGGAACCATAGAAGCAATGGTAGATGTAGAAAAATGTGCTTGTTCATGACAATGCAGTCAAATAAACTCAAATGCCCTGGTTCCCGTAAAGCTGTCTAAAAATATGACCAGCAAGGAGGGGACACGCATCCCTTTTAAGTGCACCTGGAGTGTTAAGTTTTCCGTATGGATCCCGATTACTGCTGCTGAAGGGATGCAGAAGGGTACCATAGGGAAGCCTGTTTGGTACCATAAGCTCTCTCTGGATGGTTCAGGTTGGACTTGAGGCTGGAGGGGAGGGCATGGAAAGGCAGGGCAGAGTCAGAAAAGCGAATATGGACAGAACACACTAGTGATATCCGAAGAGGCTGCTTAAGACCTGAATCAGCCCCAGGCCTTGACCCCTTGTCTTGCCTTCCACCCTTCAAACCTTAAGGGTCAGTCCTCAGCTCACCCTGACCCATTCCTGGTTTCTGGGTGTAGCACATGTGCACATGTCTGAATGTTTGTGTATTGTCCCCAAATATTGAAATCCTAACTCCTAAAGATGATAGGGCCATTGAGTGGTACTTGTAAGCCCTTATTAATGGGATTGGTGTTTTATAAAAAAGGCTCCAGAGGTCCCTAGCCTCTGTCCACCATGTGAGAACACAGCGAGAGGCTCTAGCTATGAACCAGGAAAGGGCCATCACCAGAAGGTGACCTCATGCCTTGACCTTGGACTTGCCAGCCTCTAGAACTGTGAGAAGTAAATTTCTATTGTTTTTAATCTGCCCAGTTTGTGGTATTTTGTTCTAGCAGCCCTCAGGGACTAGGACAGCGTGTTTCAAAACATATATGGAGAGTGAAGACTGGGCCAACACAACATTTGAAAAAAAGTTTTAAGTAGAAAAATTATGGATTCTTGGATTTGAAAAGACTGGATTGGTTTGTGAAAGGATGAGTGTGTGTGTGTGTGTGTGTGTGTGTGTGTGTGTGTGTGTACGTGTCCCAAAAGTCTTTGTGCAGTTTAAAGCTTTACTAACTCCAGAATTATAAGTGCTACAAATTTATAGTTATCATTTAAAGGTTTGACTACATATAACTCTTTTATACTTAGATTTATACATCTTGAATAACAAATTTTAATTTTTTGTGTGTAGGTAGCTCTGATTGAAATGTGACTAAACAAACACTAAGAATTCACAAAACTAAGTAAGTGTAAAAGTTTTGAGCCTGGGTTTATACAAGACAAGAACATGATGTGCGGAAACTGGAGTTGAGGGCAGAAGAAATAAAATAAAAATCCCTGGGAAATAGCCACAATTTCAGGTTCAAGTTCAGATTTTTAAGGTTTATGAAACTGATGGGCCTCAAGTCAAGATCTCTTAGGGACAAAGGGAACCGGGTGACATCTAGGTTCCAGATGAAATTAATAGAAAATTGGCTAAAATCTCTCTGGCAGGATGGAGAAGAGCTGGAAGGAGAGATCTAGAAGGTCCAGAAGGGTACAGGGATATGTGGAGCTGGGTGGTGGGGGATGGGCATCCTCCTCTTCTTGTCCCTCCCCCACCCGCAGGAACCTTTATGACAAGGTCACAGCTCTGTGATGCAAGCCCGGGTTTCTGCCCAAAGTGAGCTGGCAGTGTTCCGTTGCCTGAGGGCAGCAGTGCGAGTCAGATCATGGAGAACCTTCTCTTCCCTCTGAAAAGCGCCATTGCTACCTGGCAGCGCTCCAGTCCTTGCTGGGTGATCGATGCCATCCTCGGCATCGTGTGTGGGGTGCTGCTCTACCTTGTGTTAGTCCACAGCTCCGAGAGTGATGGACCCTCCCCACCACCGAGGGAACATAGAAACACCAGGAGGGTAAGGATCCCTTGGCCCAGACCCAACAGAGATGATCTTTTTTCTCTTCTTATTCCCACTTTTCTGAATGACCCAGGGAGACTCCTGCGATGGGAAGAGAGAGCAACTGCTCTCAGGAAAGACTAGAACCTCATCCCTCTAGGAACCAGCCAGGCGGGGCAGGGGATAGAGCAGGCGGGAGGATTTCTATGCAGAGCTCTCTGACCAGGAGGCCAGGTGTGGTGGGAGCTCTAGGGCACAGCCCCAAACACAGTGACCAGTGGCCAAGGACGGAATTCTAAGGGCTGGACCTGTGGGGGACAGGCCCAGAGTCCTGGTTCCCCACCGCCTTCCTTGGCAGGTGTCTGGGGCGAGCCTGCCCTCTGTGGGGCTGATCCGAGGGCAGGGACCTGAGGGAGCCCCTGGGGGCCGCTAGCAGGGGCTGGGGCGGGCTGTGGCCTGAGGGAGCTCCAGGCGGGCCCACAGGTCTGAGGATGTGTGTGTTTCTTGAGCTGAGAAACAGAGATAGAAGAAATCAATGGTGCATCTCACATAGAAAATTATTTTTGCATTCTTCAAAGAAGAAAACAAAATATTTTACCCACTTTACAACTAAGTAAAAGCCAGCTTTAAATCAACATGGTTTTATTTCTATCATAAATACTCACTGAACCATGAATTTCTCAATACTTTTGGAGAAGAAACAATAAAGCTAAGACTCCACAGAATACTTCAGCATTAAAGACACTCTGATACTAAAAAATAGTAACAAGTAAAAGAAAAACCAGAGCACTGCAGTAGGTAAATGTAGAAAGTCATATTGCTCACGAACCCTGAGCGTCTGCCGCTTGTCTAGAGAGGAGAGTGAGAATGGGGTCCCAGCCCCTCGTTTTCTTGTCTCAGCGTTCAGTGGAGCTGAGGAGGAGCAGCAGGAGCAGGAGCAGGAG